GCCAGGATCCGTGCCACCAGCTCCACCAGCTCGCTGGCCCGGTAGCTGCGGTAGCGGCCGCTGCGCCACAGCTCGTACAGCCCCGTGCCGCGGATCACCAGCGTCGGGTAGAGCTTCAGCCCGTCCGGCCGGAACGCCGGGTTCTCAAAAAACTCCTGAGGAAAAGGGACAAAGGAAAATTTAATGGGGTTAATGATGAAAAAAAAAATAATTTCCAGGGGGGTTCTGCTGTGGATTTATTATCTGTCTTTATTCTATTGATTTATTCCAGTTATTTGTTCTGTTCTATTTATTAATTCTATTAATTTATTCCAATCATTTGTTCTGCTCTGTTTATTATATTTATTAATTCTATTGATTTATTCCAGTCATTTGTTCTGATCTATTTATTCTATTTATTAATTCTATTTATTAATTCTATTTATTAATTCTATTGATTTATTCCAATCATTTATTCTGTTCTCTTTATTCTATTTATTAATTCTATTAATTTATTCCAGTCATTTGTTCTGTTCTGTTTATTCGATTTATTAATTCCATTTATTTATTCCAATCATTTGTTCTGTTCAGTTTATTCTACCTATTAATTATATTTATTTATTCCATTCATTCGTTCTATTTTTTCCATTCTATTGATATTAATTTATTTATTCTGTTCATTTATTCCATTCACTTATTCTATTTCTTCTGTTCTATTGACATTAATTTATTTATTCTGTGTTTTTATTCTATTGATTTATTCTATTCATTTATTCTATTCTATGTATTCTACTTATTAATTCTATTGATTCATTCCAATCATTTATTCTGTTCTATTAATTCTATTTATTAATTCTATTGATTTATTCCAGTCATTTATGCTGTTCTATTTATTCTATTTATTAATGCTATTTATTAATTCCATTTATTTATTCCAATCATTTGTTCTGTTCTATTTATTCTATTTATTAATTCTATTTATTTATTCCATCCATTTGTTCTATTTCTTCTATTCTATTGATATCTTGAAAATTAAATTCTGGAAATTAATTCCTGGCAATTAATTAAATCCCAACAATTAAATCCCGACAATTCATTCCCGACAATTAAATCCTGAAAATTAAATCCCGACAATTAAATCCCAACAATTAAATCCTGAGAATAAATCCTGACAATTAAATCCCGACAAATAATTCCTGAAAATTAATTCCTGTCAATTAAATCCAAGTTATTAAATCTGGACAATTATATTCTGAAAATTAATTCCTGAAGGTTAAATCCTGAAAATTAAATCCCAAAAATTAAATACCAATAATTAATTCCCGGCAATTAAATCCCAACAATTAAATCCCAACGATTAATTCCCGACAATTAAATCCTTACAAATCCCGACAAATAATTCCTGAAAATTAATTCCTGACAATTAAATCCCTATAATTAATTCCCGACAATTAAATCCCAATAATTAAATCCTGAAAATTAACTCCTGACAATTAAATCCTTACAAATCCCACAATTAATTCCTGAAAATTAATTCCTGAAAATTAATTTCGGGAAATTAATTCTCAACAATTAAATTCCAACAATTAAATACCAACAATTAAATCCTGAAAATTAAATCCTGGAAGTTAATTCCCAACAATTAAATCCCAACAATTAATTCCCCACAATCAAATCCTGGAATTTAATTCCCGACAATTAAATTCCAGTAATTAAATCCTGGAAATTATACCTTGATAATTAAATCCCAAGAATTAAATCCTGCAAATTAACTCCCAACAATTAATTCCCGACAATTACTTCCTGTCAATTAAATCCTCAAAATTAATTCCTGGTAATTAAATCCTGACAATTAAATCCCTAGAATTAACTCCTGAAAATTAACTCCTGATAATTAAATCCTGGCAATTAATCCCCAACAATTAAATCCCAACAATTAAATCCTAGAAGTTAAATCCTGAAAGTTAATTCTCGACAATTAAATCCCAATAATTCCCGATAATTAAATCCCGACAATTAATTCCTGATTGATAATTAAATCCTGGAAATTAGATATCAACAATTAAATACCAAAAATTAATTCCTGAAAATTAAATCCTGGAAATTAATTCCCAACAACTAATTCTTGACAATTAAATCCTGAAAATTAAATCCCAGTAATCAATTCTCGACAATTAAATCCCGGCAATTAATTCCCAACAATTAATTCCCGACAATTAAATCTGACAAGTAATTCCCGACAATTAAATCCTGCCCATAATTATAATCACAATCCCAATGATAATCCAAATAATCCCAATTATAACCATAATTATAATCCCAATAATCACAAATAATTCCATTTTCTTTGGCACACAACATTGGCCGAGCCACAAAATATTTTTTTTTAGGAAAAATTCCAGGAATTCTACAAAAAAAACCCTTGGAGAAGGTTCCTATCCCAACTCTTGGGATTTTTCCTGCTTTTTCCCGCATTTTTCCTGCTTTTTCCCGCATTTTTCCTCCATTTTGCCCTTATTTTTCCAGGTTTTTAATAAAAATCTGCAATTCCTCCCTCACAATTCCAATTTATTTTCCATTTTTAATAAAAATCTGTAATTTCCTCCCTCACGATTCCAATTTTTTCTCCATTTTAATAAAAATCTCGGATTTCTCCATTATAATTCCATTTTTTTCCCTATTTTTAATAAAAATCTGCGATTCCTCCCTCAGGATTTTGATTTTTTTCCCTATTTTTAATAAAAATCTGCTATTCTTCCCTCACAATTCCAAATTCTTTTCTATTTTTAGCAAAAATCTGCAATTCCTCCCTCATAATTCCAATTTATTTTCTATTTTTAATAAAAATCTGCAATTCCTCCCTCAGGATTTTGATTTTTTCTCCGTTTTTAATAAAAATCTGCGATTTCTCCCTCACAATTCCCATTTATTTTCTATTTTTAATAAAAATCTGTAATTTCCCCCTCAAGATTCCAATTTTTTCCCTATTTTTAATAAAAATCTGCAATTCCTCCATTACAATTCTGATTTTTTTTCCTCTTTTTAATAAAAATCTGTGATTTCTCCATTATAATTCCAATTTTTTCTCAATTTTTAATAAAAATCTGCAATTTCCCCCTCACAATTCCAATTTATTTTCTATTTTTAATAAAAATCCGCAATTTCTCCCTCACAATTCCAATTTTTTCTCTATTTTTAATAAAAATCTGCAATTCCTCCCTCAGGATTTTGATTTTTTCTCCATTTTTAATAAAAATCTGCGATTCCTCCCTCACGATTCCAATTTTTTCTCCTTTTTTAATAAAAAACTGCAATTCCTCCATTATAATTCAGATTTTTTTTTTCACCATTTTTAATAAAAATCTGCAATTTCTCCCTCACAATTCCAATTTATTTTCTGTTTTTAATAAAAATCTGCAATTCCTCCCTCAGGATTTTGATTTTTTTCTCCATTTTTAATAAAAATCTGCAATTCCTCCATTATAATTCCAATTTTTTCCCTATTTTTAATAAAAATCTGCAATTCCTCCCTCACGATTCCAATTTTCTCTCTGTTTTTTAATAAAAATCTGCAATTCCTCCATTATAATTCCAATTTTTTTCCCTATTTTTAATAGAAATCTGCAATTCCCCCCTCAGGATTTTGATTTTTTTATCCATTTTTAATAAAAATCTGCAATTTCTCCATTATAATTCTGATTTTTTTCCCTATTTTTAATAAAAATCTGCGATTCCTCCCTCATAATTCCAATTTATTTTCTATTTTTAATAAAAATCTGCAATTCCTCCCTCAGGATTTTGATTTTCTCTCCATTTTTAATAAAAATCTGCGATTCCTTCCTCACAACTCTGATTTCAAATGATTTTGTCATTAAAAAATAAATCCGTGGATTAACTCAACAAAAATCAGCTCCAAAAATCCGATTTTTTTCCCCCCAAAAAATCCGTTTAAAATCGTTTTATTGCTAAAAAATCCATGGATTAACTCAGCAAAAATCTGTGGATTAAATCAACAAAAATCGGCTCCAAAAATTGGATTTTTTTTACTTTTCCCCTAAAAAAATCCGTTTAAAATTGTTTTGTCATTAAAAATCCATGAATTAACTTAACAAAAATCAGATTTTTTTTTTTAATTTTTTTCCCCTAAAAAAATCCATTTTAAATGGTTTTGTCACTAAAAAATAAATCCATGGATTAAATCAACAAAAATCAGATTTTTTTACTTTTTTCCCCCAAAAAATCTGTTTCAAATCATTTTGTCATTAAAAATCCATGGATTAAGTCAACAAAAATCGGATTTTTTCCACTTTTTTTCCCCTAAAAAATCCGTTTTAATGGTTTTGTCACTAAAATAAATCCGTGGATTAACTCAACAAAAATCAGCTCCAAAAATCAGATTTGTTGCACTTTTTTCCCTCCAAAAATCCGTTTAAATGGTTTTGTCGCTAAAAAATAAATCCCTGGATTAACTCAACAAAAATTGGATTTTTTTCACTTTTTCCCTAAAAAAATCCGTTTAAAATCGTTTTGTCGCTAAAATTAAATCTGGGGATTACCTCAACAAAAATCAGATTTTTTCCACTTCTTTCCCCTAAAAAAAATCGTTTTAAATCATTTTATCATTAAAAAATCTGTGGATTAACTCATCAAAAATCAGATTTTTTCCACTTTTTTTCCCCTAAAAAATCCGTTTTAATGGTTTTGTCACTAAAATAAATCCGTGGATTAACTCAACAAAAATCTGCTCCAAAAATCAGACTTTTTCCGCTTTTTTTCCCCTAAAAAAATCGTTTTAAATCATTTTATCATTAAAAAATCTGTGGATTAACTCATCAAAAATCAGATTTTTTCCACTTTTTTTCCCCTAAAAAAACCCATTTAAAACAATTTTTTCGCTAAAAATGAATCCGACCCGTATGGGAATGGAAAGGGAGGGATAAAATGGGATAAAAACTGGGAATTTTGGGATTTTGTTTTTGGGAATGCTCACCACGAATTGGTCGAGGTCGCGCTCCAGCCCCACGTTGGGAAGGTCGGGCATCATGTGAGCCACGACCTTGAACCCCGAATCCTTGGCCAGGTGGAAACACTCGGAGACCGCGCGGACGGTGTGACCCCTGAAA